CCGTATTCTTCTTCATGGAAAAATAACACATCCCCTGAAAATAAGACCTAGTGCATCTTTGGGAGCAAAAATTAATCTGACACTGTCTTTATTTTTGGGGAAACAGGGTAGTTCATACGCCTCTCTTCAGACTCATGCAGCCATATGCTGTGATGCGAAATGCAGGAAGTTCAGAGGCTGGGTGGGTGCAGAGTTGTGTGGATCCAAGGTCAGTGGAAACATGGCAGGGTTCTAGCCTCTTCTGGAATAGCAAACAGGAAGGGAAAGGGGTGGGGTGGTGGGGTGGTGTAGCAGGGGACTGGGGGGTGTCCTTGGGTCTCCCTGATAAAGAGTCCACCTCCTGAAGAACACAGCATCAGACTGTGACCTGATTAACAGGTTTGACCCCACCTCTATCCAGGACTGTCTAATTAACATAAAATCATCAAACTACCACATTGTTTTGATGCCCTTCCACAATTCATAGGTCTTCTGTCATTAGTGTGCAATGTATCAAATGTGTGCTTGAAATGTTCTCAAAGTACAGATGAGACAGACTCAAGGTCATATAGTGGCTCTTGTAAACATGTTTTTATTTGCTTCAAGTCTTGGCCTGGTTTTAGCTGCTGTTATTGAGCTTATTATCCAAGGTCTCTTCCAACAGCTATAGTGTGGCAGTTACATAATCTCCTGTCAGTATGCAAAGGGGTGGAGTCTAGCCTTCAATTAGGTCACATCTTGATGACCTCATTTGGGAGCTGCAAATGGAGATAAATAGCTCACTGGAGGCCAGATACAGGCTCACTCCCTGTGAGACATTCCTGCTGTCAAGACACATATAGCTATGCTAGTGCCCTAGAGCTGGTGGAGCCATGTGTAAACCCGTGCCAAAACAGATGCTTTCTCTGCCATTGGATCCACAAGACTTTCTACCCACTGGCCTTTGATCTTCATGCATTCACATCATTGCATGTTTTATGTGAGTCTCAAGAGGATTTTATAGATTTGTGGCGGACATATGGGCTAATATATGGACTTGAACTATACTTATTATATAATTACCCTTTATATAATGCTATTTCTTATAAACATATGCGTGTTTATGAATTTGTTTGGTAAAATTCTTCAATTTTCTTCATCTCTAGTTTTTGTGGTTGGTGTATAAATTTGAATGATAGTTTTATTGATTGGCCTTTCTTGATGGTGGATGGATATAAACCTATCACAGCCAGCATTGTACTTCAAGATTGATTTTGCAAAGTCCTTTTTGATGGTGAATGCTATGCCATTCCTCTTGATTGTGTTATTACTGGCATAGTAATTCATATGATTTTCTGATTCAAAATGGCCAATACCAGTCCATTTCCACTCACTAAGCCTAGGATATTGATCTTTATGTATTCCATTTCATTTTTGACCACTTCTAGTTTTCCTAAAGTCATACTTTGTATATTCCAAGTTGAGTTTATTGAACAGTATTTTGCAACTGTTCCTTCCCTTGAGTCATACCTCATCAGCAAATGAGTATTCCATGGGCTCTACTTCCACAGGCTTTATGGGCTTTAACTGACTTTTGTCACCATTGTCAAATTCACTCTTAAGAAATCTGCTCTGATCTGTCTAAATAAGATAGGCTGGATGAACAATCTGGAGGAGAAAACAACGGGACCGACAGTTCGGGGGGGGACATGGGAGAGAGGGAGGTGGGGAGAAGAGGTAGTGGTGTTAACAAACTCAGGGACAAGGAACAACAAGTGATCCAAATCGGTGGTGAGGACAGTGTAGGAGTCCTGTAGGCCGTGATCAAGGGTAATGTAACCAAGAGGAATTACTGAAACCCAAATGAAGAGTGAGCATGATAGTGGGATAAGAGGAAAGTCAAAGGAAATAGATGAAAGAGCTAGGAGGCAAAGGGCATTTATAGAGGTCTAAATAAAGGCATGTACATATGCAAATATATTTATATATGAGGATGGGGAAATAGATTTATGTACATATATTTATAGGCTTAGTATTAAGGTAGCAGATGGGTATTGGGCCTCCACTCAAGTACTCCCTCAATGCAAGAATACTTTCTTCTATTAAATTGGCATTCTATGATGCTCACCTTCCTGACACAACTGCTGAAGACAAAGCGGGTGCATAAGCAAATGTGGTGAAGAAAGCTGATGGTGCCTGGCTATCAAAAGATATAGCATCTGGGGTCTTAAAGGCTTGAAGGTAAACAACTAGGTGAGAAGCAACAAAGCCCACATGGAAGAAGCACACCAGCCTGTGTGATCACGAGGTGTCAAAGGGATCCATTATCAGGCATCAGAGAACAAAAAATCAAATCATTGTGAATGATGGGGCAGGGTGCAGATTGGGGACCCAAGACTCATCTGTAGGCAATTGGACATCTTCTTACAGAAGGGTCTCAGGGAGGAGGTAAGCCAGTCACGGTGCGATGCAGCAACGATGAAACATACAACTTTCCTCTAGTTCCTAAATGCTTCCTCCTCCCCCACTATCATGATCCCAATTCTACCTTACAAATCTGGCTAGACCAGAGGATGTACACTGGTGCAGATAGGAACTGGAAACACAGGGAATCCAGGGCGGCAATCCCTTCAGGACCAGTGGTGTGAGTGTTGATACTGGGAGGGTGGAGTGACGTGGGTTGGAAAGGGGGAACCGATTACAAGGATCTACATGTGACCTCCACCCTGGGCGATGGGCAACAGAAAAGTGAGTGAAGGGAGACGTCAGGCAGGGCAAGATATGACAAAATAGTAATTTATAAATTATCAAGGGTTCATGAGGGAGGGGGAACTGGGGAGGGAGGGGGAAAAGTGCGGACCTGATGCCCGGGGCTTAAGTGGAGGGCAAATGTTTTGAGAATGATGAGGGCAATGAATGTACAGATGTGCTTTACACAATTGATGTATGTATGGATTGTGATAAGAGTTTTATGAGCCCCTAATAAAATGATTAACAAAGAAACAAAACAAAATAAAATGCAATACCTAAAAAAAAAAAGATAAGAAAAGAAAAGAAATCTGCTCCTCTTCAGTCAAATTTTGAGTGCCTTCCAATCTGAGGCACCCATCATTCAGCACTGTCTGCAACAACATTCTGCTTCCATTCATTAGGCCTTCAGTATTTGACCATGTTTTGAGGCTATGCATAAGGTTTTCAAGGGGTCCTTCCTATGAAGTGGGGAGCCAAGTCCTACATGTCTGTTCTTGGTCTGCAAGTTTCCCTGAGACCTGCTCTCTTTAGGTGACCTCTGATAGCATTTGAATTAATTACCAGAGACATGGTGTCCAGTATCACTGCAACACATGAGACACCACAGTATGATAAACTCACAGACACATGATGGTCTTGATGACTATATTAGTGTTAGTCAAAACCTGATTTGGCTGTGAATATGATATGCGTAAATCATTGTGCTAGAAATTTAAAATTTCACTTTATAAATGAATATGTGTAACATTTTTGTTAACATTATTTAAAATTTTTGTGTTTTTGGTGGCCTACTTTGGTGAGTAGTGACTAGGGTCTTAAAAAGCTTAAGAGTGGCCATCTAGCTTGTGTTTTTTGGTTTCTCCCTTTAAACAAAGGAGACTGAAAATAAAATAGGGGAACAATTCATGCAGAGTACTAATGTACTGCTTGAACTTAGTCCACACTTTGAGACCAGAACCAGATGGTGCCTGGCTACTGCTGATAATGCTTCTGAAGGGGATCATCATAGGAGGTCTGGATAGAGTGTGAGACAGATGTGGAATTAAACTAAGCACCAGAATAAAGATCAGCTATATTGATCTGATAGAAATTGGTGTAACCCCAAAGACTATATAGCCCTTAGACACCATTGAAGCCTTGAACTCATTTCCATGGCTCAACTTTCAATGAAACAACAGATCTATAAGGTGATAAAACCAGGGAGGTATGCACTCCATAGAACAGTTTGCTATTATAAGTCAAAAGGGAAGCATTTGTCCAGGAATAATGCCCAAAAGGCTGGAACAATAGGAATAAAGGGTAACAGGAAAAGTGAGTGTAGGGTTGAAGTAGGAGAGTGCTGTTACATTATTGGGATTTTATTAAGTGTAACAAAATGAAATGTGTGTGAATTGTTGAATGGAAAAACAATTTGCTCAGTAAACTTTATCCAAAATTATAAAAGCTAAAAAAGGTGTTTTTTTTAACCTTCCTTTGTGCATTTTAAATCAAGTCCAATATATTTGCCAATAATATCACTAATTAGAAAGCCAGTAGTTTGTTACTTTCTATTCAGCTACCACAGGATCCACTTTTACTATGATTTGCTGTTTTGCAGAATTTGTTCTTTTTCAGATCTAATTATCTTCAAAGCTACCCAATATAACATGGTTAGCCTACAAAGAATTGTTGGTCATTTCCTAATTCCAGCCTCAAAAACAATTTCCACTGTACTTTTCCACAATGATTTCATTGTTTTCCCTCTGTGGTTACAGAAGTTGGGTGGTTTTATGGAGATAATAATTAGATGATATTGTGTAATTACTTTATGACAAAAGATGTTTAAACATAAATCACTAGAATATAAAAGTTTTAAACTTAGTAGTCATACTAACTTTGTGTGTAATAATTGATCGGTTTTAGCTTTAGTTTTAAGTACCTGGATCTTTCTGCTAACTTAGGTTGTATGAACTATGCATAAAAGCTTCTTCATATTTGATGTTCTTGCATATACTAAATTGATATTTCTTGTGCTGACAAATCTTCATTTTAAATAGAATGTGGTTTCATTTTTTGATAAGCTCTACTGAATTTTACAGAGAGTTTTTTGGGCCACCAAATATTTTGGATCATTGAGAGAAGATATATTGTACTGTACTAATACTAATTTTCTATTTACATTAGTATGTTGTGACATAATGTCAATGTTAATCACTGCTTGCCTGTTAATAGTGTTTATAAAAAGTTATTTTTGTGTGAGTAAACTTAATTTTTTTCTCTGATCTAAATGAATTTTAATGTTTCCTTTTTAGGAGTTACCTAATTCTGTCTTTCTAGTAATGGAGGTAGGTGGTATACAGCTTCTGTTTAACTTATTTCATGTACTTTAAATTAATAGTTGAGAATTTGAACTACGGATATCACTAATTTAGATTCTATCTTAAATATAAATATAAAATAAACATTTTAATCTTGTAATTTTTAAATGTTCTTCAGGTTTGACTTCTACATTGTATAAAAATGGTTTCAAAATTAAAAATGAATTGTTAATGAAATTAGTCTTGAATCAATGTCTTCATTTTAATTACTTTTTCTTATATATGTCAGTATTGCAATGGTGGAGATCTGGCAGATTATTTGCAAGGTAAATTTTTATGTATGTCAGTGTTTAATAATGATAAAATAATGATAATACTCTGGTCAGCTCAATCTTGAGAATTACTTCTGAAAGAAGCTGCGTCCAATTTTTTGTCCTTGTGTAGAAGCAACTTAATAAATGTTTATTGGTTTATTTTGTTACCCAGTGGCGTTTTAGTTGTAGTTTTATTCCTAAACTTTACATGTATTTAAGTACTTGATGTGTACCTCATTCTGACAGTGTTTGTGAAATTGGTCTTCTCTTTAGGAGAGAAGAAACCAAAGGAATTTTCTCTACATTAAAAAATGACTGAGTTGTTATCGTTGAATCTTTAGTAACTCCTTCATTTTTTGCAATCTATAAAAATCTTATGGAGGAATGTACCTAAGAGCATTTGTTAATTTGAGAATTTTTTGTAAGTGAAAAAAAAAGCAAACCAAAACTAAAATCAAGGGTAATATGAAAACTATTTCTTGGAACTAGGTTAAGATTTTCATACAAGATGATGCTTGAAGTTCTATACCTAAAATGCATATATATAGAATATGAAACATTCCTCACAATTTATTCTCTCAAAGTATTATGACGTTTTTGAGGCCAGCATCTACTTGTTTACCTCTTACAGATATTTGACTCATATCAAAAGAGACTTTTGTTTTATTTTAAAAAGGAAACTCACATACTTGTTATATTTCAGGTAATGTAGACTCCTGTAGAGTAACAAAAAGGGAAGAGGGGAAAGTGAATACTAGTGAAAACAAAAGATAAAAACAGTCTGTATAACAGATTGATGACAATACTTGGGAAATCTACCATCTCGTCCTAGACTTTAGTTACTAAAGTAAAATATTACCCAGTTTGTGTCTCTTTAACAACCCAATTCTGTTGATGGAATGTGCCATTGGTATTTGATTTTATGTATTTAAATATTCATATGACTGCTTTTCTATCAGCTAAAGGTACTCTCAGTGAAGATACTATCAGAGTTTTTTTGCATCAGATTGCAGCTGCCATGAGAATCCTTCACAGCAAAGGGATAATCCACAGGGATCTCAAACCACAGAACATCTTGTTGTCCTATGCCAATCGCAGAAAGTCCAGTGTCAGTGCTATCCGCATCAAAATAGGTAAATGGTTATGCATTGCTTCATACAAAGCAGGTTTATGAATCTTCTCAGTTTTAGGTAATTTTAGTTTAGGTTTGTTAAAAGGATAAATTCCAATGATGGAATTTTGAAATTTTTCGTTAGTTCATTAGGGCATTTTTATATCTTTTAACATTTTTCCTTTTATGAGAACATTCATTATATTTTAAAGGGAAGTGAAAGACAAGGATGTCTCCAGATTGGCGAGACCATCGGCACAGGGCCATAATGGTGTCCAAGGGTGTGCTGATTCGCAGCAGACATGGAAGGTCAAAATCAATCACACGTGAATTGTATCCAGCAAATCAAAGCATCATAGTTACAGCTGGGGTTACAGGAGCAGGATTGGGGCTGTGATTAGGATGAGTACATTGTGGTGGACAAAGGAGTTTAAAAGATGGGTCCAGGGCCCTCCCCAAGGCAGTCAGGGCATGACATATCTATGCAACCCCCCATACATCTCCATGAAGGCAAGCCCCAAAGGAAGACTCTCATCCCTCAAACTTGATACATGGGTAAAGGTAATGCCTTTTCCATTGTACATGGTCTAAAGACAAGAATATTCATATCCCTGGTCCATGTTCAGAAAAGGGTCATTGGAGACTTTATCCACGTGGGCAAGATGGATTTGGGGCTTTCACTGTCAAATATAGCCTTCTGCATACTGAGTTCTCAGAATTTATGTTCAAGTCTAGGACCCTTCTCTGAATATGAAATTTATTATTTGCAATACTTCAATCACAGGCAGGTGTGCTTCTTCCACGCAGACTTAGCTGATACTTCCCTTAGATGGCTGCTTGTTTTAAGGCACTTTTTTATGACCCCAGGCACTATTTTTTCTGATTGCTGGGCATCATCTGATTTCTTCATTGAGGTATATTTAGATTTGTGAATCCTGGGTAGTATATGATAAATATTTTAGACAGGGCCAAAGGGCCAGAGGAGCATTTAAGTAAGGAAGCTAATGTCTTAATGATTTTTGGCATCTTTAATAACCCTGATTCTTGATAGCACATAGGATTTTTTAAATAACAGGGAATTTAAGAAATCATCTAGTTTAGGTTTCTTACTTGGTAGTGTTTTAGTGCTCTTGTATTTCTAAATTATTTGAAGCATTTAGTAATGCTAGAATTTTTGAAAGTTCTAAAATTAGTTACAAAGAAAAATAACCATTTACTCTTATGTCTTAAAAAGTCATAATCTGTGTTATGTGTGAGCAAAGGTATCATTTTTATTCTACTTTTTATTTTGTGAAATAGCGGATTTTGGGTTTGCTCGTTATCTACACAGTAATATGATGGCTGCAACACTGTGTGGCTCCCCAATGTACATGGTAAGTTTATATTACAACCCTGTTTCTAGCACAGTGCCATATTTTCATTTAAGTGTAATGCTTGTTTCCAAGGCAAATACAGATTTATATAAGGAGGGCTTACAAATGTTCATGGAAAAATGACATTAAAAGATAATAGAATTTTTACATGAACTTTTTCAAGCCCCACTGTTTATTGTTTGAAGTGTTGTTTATATTACAGATGTCAGTTATCTATAATGTGATCTCTTACTTTAGCATAGTGGACTGAAAAAGAGTTTTGCTCCTCTTTTTTTATTAAGGATTAGTTATTATGGTAGAAGATTACATTGAAATTAAAAATTAATGAAGTATGGCCATACTTCATATAAAATAACTGTTATGCAGTTAGTTCCATAACAATATGATACATAATATTAATGTTCCTTTTAGGGCACCTCTTCAGTTACTTAGAATGCTCATCTTTTCAGTGTTCTCTCTTGATATAATCCCTCCCTAGAGTATAGAAATGTTTTCTTAAATCAAAAAAATATTTTCTCTCATATTTAACCTTCCATATAGATAAATATAGTATTGCCATGTGTGAAATTTCTGAATTAATGTGTAACATTAAGTGTAGAAATACCTTAATTTTGGAACTTCAAAATTTTATCAAGTAAATAAATATACATATTAAAATTTAAACTACAAATGGATTTTTGTTCAATTGGAAATTCTTCAAAAAGCATTAAACTCTGAGATCAAGGAAAATAGTGATCAAAGTTTAAATATATTGTAAATCTGAGTTGCCTTAATTATGATTATTCTATATTTATATATGATTAATTTTATGTAATGTAAATATTACTTTGCACTTCCTGACTATGAAATTATTTTAACCTTGAAGGTAGTAGAAGTGCTTGAGCTGATCATTAAAGGAAGTTAACTCAGAAATTTACTACGGAAAATAAAAATGTTAAGCCTGGCCTATAAAATGTCAATACCTTTAAATATATATGATATTTACTATTTAACATTTGTCATAATTGATAGTATATTTAAAAAGCCACATCTAATGCAAGCTGGTAAAGTATCTATCACAAAACAGCAGAAAAATGCTTTTTTTTTTTTTTTTTAGAAATATGCTTGTAAGACTGTTTTTTGTAATTCAGTTTTGTTCAATAGTGCTGCTTAATATAAAAGCTTTAAAACTACAGAGAAATATGTGGTCTGTTACAGCACACACCCATGTGTCCGTACTTTCATATAGAACAATGTTAACATTGTACTATATTTGTTTTTTGGTTTTTTTTTTCCAGAAAAAATATTGCAGAGACAGTTTAAAATCCTTTTTATATCTCTCCCTGATCCCATGTCCCACTCTTCAACACTTATACCCTAGAAGTAACTTCTATCCTATGTGTTGTTTTTATAATTGTTAAGAGTTCTTTTTGAATTTTATGTGTCCATTTATTTTATGTAGAAATGCTTGCTAAAAATTCTATATAAGTTTATGTACTGTCTATAACTTCTTTTCACGTGGTATTTTTTGAGATTTCTCAGTAAGTCACAGTACAGTAATAGACAGGTAATTCCCAGCTTTTGACGCAATCAAGTTAATAATAAACCCATCATTTTGAGCTGGTTCTAAATGGTTCAGTCATGGCTGGCAGAAAAACAGGCACAATATACATAAATTTGGGTACATATCAACAAGATCTCTTGCACCTTGTATTTTTTAAAAATTATTTTATTGGGGGCTCGTCCAATTCTCATCACAATCCATATGTGCCAAGCACATATGTACTTTCACTGTAGGCAACAGGCATTTGTGCTTTGCTCAAGAAGACAGCTGATGGGACACTTTGAAAGTGTGCCACGGTATTTTTGAGCAACATTTTGTTGTATCCTGCTCTGGTCAAAATAAGACACTTGAGATTTGGTTGCCTATGCAATATATAGGGCACTCTGTGTCTGTTGGACCTGATAACCATTTTGAAGCCCTGAATGAACTATACTTAACAACTACATTTTTTTTTGGAGGGGAGGGAAGAGAGGTTATATCTTATCATTAGTAATAAGTACTGCTTATTGTGTTGTAGCACATAATTTACTGCATTTATCACTCTCAGATGCTTAGTGTTAGGATTTGTAGACACTGATAAGTCTATAATTTGACCTAAATCATAACTGAGTTATGACAGTAGTCAAGATGAAACCTTTTGCATGTCAGACACTACCTATAGTTTTTTGTTTGTTGCAATAGCAATATCATTTTGTCATATTGTTAAGTTTTTGTTTTAGTGATTTTGTTGGGAATGTAACCTCTATCAGTTAATTAATATATTCATATTACCTCTATCAGTTGATTAATATATTCACATTAATGATCTAAGTAAAATATGCATATTATCTAAATAACAATAATATAGTACATTGGGTTTTTCTATACCCAGGCTCCTGAAGTTATTATGTCTCAACATTATGATGCTAAAGCTGACTTGTGGAGCATAGGAACAGTAATATACCAGTGCCTAGTTGGAAAACCACCTTTTCAGGTGACCTGATTTTTTTGTTGATGTTTCCTACTTGGCCTAGCTTTGAAATTCAAGTTTGTATTAGAAATGATTCTGGGGAGATCACTGGAAACTGTCTTTACCAATATGTTACTGATCACTACTGGGTGTATTGCTTAAGCTTTTATGTGAATTTATTTTGGGCATTTTTCCCTATCTTTACTCCCCTAATGTCCTGTTGAAAGCACTCTAGATTTTAATCATGATTATTCCTCTAGAATTTATCTTGCCTGTGTTACAATTTATTAAGTTACAAAGAGTTTTTAAATCTGAATACTAGAATTATGTGAAATTATTTCCCCCAATGGTATTGAAAAACAGAACTGTGACAACGTCAGGTTAAATACCATGGTGTCCCCATCTAATTTATATATAAAGCCAGTCCCTGAGTTATGAATGTCTGCCAATGGACAGATCCTACTGGTCCTTTAGTGCAACGTTTTGAACCATTTTGTCTTGGCCTGTGAAGAAAAATAGGAAAATAATGAAATTTTCCAATTTGAGTGATTTGTTGTAGTAACTGGAATGGGGAAAATTATAGGTGAGCATCCTGGAATGAGAGACTGAAGTAGAGTCATAAGCCTTTGAGATTAGCCTCATATGTCATGATTGACTGTGAAAAGCAACACGCATTGAAAGTGTTGGGGTTGAGTGCTATCTTTACATGGAGCTTTAATGCTATGTACATTTCCCTTGTCTTGAAAATTTTGAGCCAACCCCTCATCACAACAAATTCTTCATTATAATCACCTTCATTTGCTGCACATGCAGCTTTTAAATCATTGTAAAGGCTTAGAGTCTTTTTTTGAGCTAAAACAAAAAATCTTATTACCTCTGAGTTAAATTTGATTTATAGTAATCCAGTAGGATAGAACTGTCCCTTTGTGTTTTTGAGGCATTAGAGCTTTAAAGGAGCAGAAAGTCTCATCTTTCTTGAGGAGTGGTTGGTGGGTTCCAACTCCTGATCTTGGATTTATCAGCGCAGCATGTAACCCACTATGCCACCAGGGCTCCTTTACTTATATTAAATTAAGGCTAAGAACCTATCTGTACCTGTTATGACTGACCCACAAATTTTTGAAGAAATACTTTGGAACAAAACTTCTTTGTAACTAAGAACTGTCTATAAGTATGCTTTGGTGATTTAATTTCTTTTATTATGAGGTGCTATTTTTTCTGGAGAGACTAAAAGCAGTGGTATACTTAGTTTTATTACTTGAATCTACTGAACTAATGCAAAACCCTGTATTTTGCACAGTAAATAATTGTATAGGTGTTATAATCTCCAGATTAATGTTGTTTTTTAGCCTATTCTAAGTTTTAGGCACCTTGGATGCATACACTGAGCTAAAAAAAGACACATTATTCTAAAATGTGCAGAATTTTCATGCAGTTGCAGAGGTTTTAAGTTCCTAATGCCCTGCTAAGGCTCCACCAGCAATTTATGGCTTGCGAGTTTGGAATCTGTGTTCTTTACCAATATTCAATGCTAATCATGATTTGGAAGTTTTGTACCCTTTGTTTAAGAAATTTAAACCTTTTTTCTTTAAACAGGCCAATAGTCCTCAAGAACTAAGGATATTTTATGAAAACCACAGGAGCTTAATGCCTAGGTATGTGTTTTGATTACACGAGGTTTTACTGTTTGGGAAACAATGTTATTTAATTGAGCTCTATATGATTTTTTTCCTGTTATTAATGTTATTTTATTTGGCAGTAGTGTTAACTTTTTTTTTAATTAAAGTGAAAGCTGTAGCAGTTCTATGTGATGTTTACAGGGACGAGATATAATTAAAACCGATATGCATAATAGTAGAAAGTAAAATTTCCTCTAATACTTTTCCTCAGTCTCTATGGATGACAAAAGTTTGCTGTGCATTTTTTTCTTTTTCTTCTTTGCAAATATTTTATATATCTTGGAGTGTGTGTGTATATATGTATTACATGCATATAGTTTAATATAAATTATATTTACAGAATAATAATAAATGTTTAGTAACAGTGTGGGGGGGTTGGCTACAGAGAATGCCATAGTTTAGATGTATTATATATTTTTTAATCAGATACCTGTTGTTTTCATATTTTGTTATTACAAGCAGGATTTAGTACAAAGTGTGACTGTGTATATGGAATTGGTGGAACCAAAATTATACTGTTCAAATAAGCTATAACAATCTATACACTTGTCAGCAGTATGTAAGAAACTTCCCTTCTCCATATATTTACCAACATCTTATTAAACCTAAAAATCTGTAAGCCTTACAAATAGAAGAATATAAACTTGCTATTACTTTATTTATATTCTCATATAAATTATTCTCATATTTAGTGACTTATTCTCATCTTTACTGCCCCACTCATCTGTCAGTTTGTCATCAAATTTCTGTAACATTTAAATAGTTTAACTCCTCCCTACTCATCTGTTAGTTTGTTGTACTATCCTGGCTTTTGTGTTGATGTGTTGGTGGAAGCTTATCACTGGTACTTTAAATACTGTCAGGGTTACCAATGATGAACACGTTTTTGAGGAGTTTCCAGACAAACACCCTAGGAAGAAAGCTGTCCACTTTTGAGGGGTTACCCACTGAAAACCTTGTGAAGAACAGTGGAACATTGTCAAATACAGTCACTCAAAATACAGCTGAGAAGAGCTCTTGAGCTCTATTGATGTACCCATGGTGTCACATGGCAAAGCAGGTCTTGAAGGATCCTTAAGCTCTAGCAATACAAGACAGGGCTACATGGTCCACGGGTTGGCTCGGCCCACAAGTAGTGCAGCACACAGTTGAGGCAACGAACAAGCTCAAGCAGCAGCATGATGGTCTGATTACCAGAGAGAAAGAGAGGAAGTTCCCAGAATCTTCATGAGAAGGCCACATCCATAAGGAGTCATCATCAGGCTATGTGACCTGATTGACAGGCCAGAAAGCACCCCTATACTTATTTATGAAGTTGATATGAAATTATGTAACTACTACACAAAAGGTCAATGTTGATATCAGACAAAGCTCAGATATTTATTTATTTATTTTAAATCATTTTATTGGGGCCTCATACAACTCTTAACACAATCCATCCATCCATCCATTGTGTCAAGCACACTTTTACATTTGTTGCCATCATCATTCCCAAAACATTTTCATTCTACTTGAGCCCTTGGTATCAGCTCCTCATTTTCCCCTCCCTTCTCCACTCTCCTTCCCTCATGAACCCTTTATAATTTATAAACTATTGTATTTTTTCATGTCTTACACTGATGTCTCCCTTCACCCACTTTTCTGTTCTTCCCTGTGAGAGGGGGTTATATGTAGATCATTGTGATGGATTCCTCCCGTCTCCCCACATATTCCCCTTCCCTTCCTGGTATTATAACTCTCAATATCAGTCCTGAAGGGTTTATCTGTCTTGGATTCTCTGAGTTTCCAGCTCTTATCTGTACCCATGTACATGCTAGCAAGATTTGTAAAGTAGAATTGGAGTCATGATTGTGGAGGGGAGGAAACATTAGATAATTAGAGGAAAAATGTATGTTACATTGATGCTATACTGCTCCTTGACTGGCTCATCTCTACCTTGTGACCCTTCTGTAAGCAGCTGTCCAATTGTCTGCAAATGGGTGTTGGGTCCCTACTTTTCCCTCCCCCTCATTCGCATTGATATAATTTTTTTGTTCTGGGTCTTTGATGTCTGCTACCTGATCCCATTGACACCTCATGATCACACGGGCTGGTGTGCTTCTTCCATGTGGACATTGTTACTTCTCAGCTAGATGACGCTCGGTTATCTTCAAGCCTTTAAGACCCAGATGCTTTATCTTTTGATAGCCAAGCAGTATTAGTTTTCTTCACATTTGCTTTTGCACCCATTTTGTCTTCAAAGATCATGTTGGGAAGGTGAGCATCACGGAATGTCAGGATATTAGAACAAAGTGTTTTGTGCGTTGAGGGAGTACTTGAGTAGACATCCAATGTCTGTCTGCTACCTTAATACTAAATCTATAAATATATGTACATAGATCTATTTCCCCATTGTTTTCTATATAGATATATTTATATATGTACATGCCTGTATTTAGACCTCTGTAAATGCTCTTTGCCTCCTAGTTTTTTCCTCTAGTTCCTTTTACTTTCTTCTTGTGCCACTGTCATGTTCAGCCTTCATTTGGGTTTCAGTAATTCCTCTCGTTACATTGCCCCTGAGCAAGCCCTACCAGGCATCCTGTGTCCTCTTCACCATTGATTTTAAATCACTTGTTGTTCCCTTGTCCCTGG